CCATTTTGTTTTATTGCTATTTTACAGTCTTTGGTCTAAGTTTTTATTTAGACCTTATAATATACTACAGGCTGATCTTTTGCGCAGCCTATCTTTTAGTTTTCTTCATGGTTAGTTGCCTAGACAAATTTTCTTGTGGTAGATCCTTTGCCACCCATAAATTTATATAGATAATTGTTATTTATTACTCTATATCTTTAACTTGAACATATACTTTTCGCAATATATTTCTCTCAACAAAGAAATAAGAGTTTGTGTTCTTTTTCTGTTAAGCACATTTTATGCTCATAAAAGATCAGGGATTTCATCAGAAGTTTCAATCTTCTAAAGTATAATCATCTAAAATAAATTATTTTAAATAATAATCTGCTATAATATAATCTATAAATTTTATAATATAATAATCTGCTATTAGTTTAAATAAACTATAATATATATTCAACCAGTTTAAATTCAATAATTTAATTTTAAAACTGTGACATTGTACAATCGATCAAAGGACCTGAAGCTATTTACTTTTTTGAAACAATGTTGACCAATGCATAAGAGTCTGCATATTGCAATACCTTTCAGTCTCAGCATGTACTTCATTTGTTATTTAGATCCATATCCATACCATTAATTTTCCAGCGAATATTTTAAGAAATATTTCTTGCTTTATATCTGCACTAGTCCTTATTGGATCTACATGTTATATATGTTCCTACACTCAAAAAAATAATTTGATTGGTTTAACCAGATTTTAACTAAACCTGAGGTCAAAATATGCTTACCCGACGCACCATATTACTTCAATCATACTACATGTTGGTTTTCATATCTTCTTTACTATATGGGCTAAAATTTCTTTAACAAAATGATCAGGGCGTATTTTTCTGAGTGTATGCATTAAACCGCACAATTTAACATAGTCCCTTTGTGCCAAGACTCATATATATTTGAAAGTATAAAGTACGAAATTTAATACAATTGCTAATTAAATATCGCCTAATATATCTGTTATAAGAATCGTCTTATAACAGACTTTTAAATAAGATTTATCTATAACTATTTCATATCAAACATTAATGACAATGTTATCAGAAAATATTGTGCGCTTATTGACTACTGCTACAAAGTAAACCATAGAACATGTAACTGAAGATGAAACTGTTCTTGGAAATGAATATTTGAATCTTCTGAATATTAATACGATATCCAGTCATTTAGAAAACTCGCTAAATATTCTTTCTACATAAAGAAAACAAAAGTGGAAACATAAGCATTGTTTTCTGTCTTTTTTTTTTCTGTAGGATCATCTTGGAACGACCCTTTCATCAGTAGGCAAGGATTGTAAGCGACCTTCGCTAGATTCGTTATCCATAAAAAAGTATGCAGTCTGACATCTACGAAATCATATCAATAGTTATAAGCGTTAGTACATTCTCTTTTAATGTTATTTTGCATTCAATAAATATTTTCACGGTCTTAAGGTTACATTAAAATCTGTGAGGAATGGCAAAACGAATCTAATGCTATAATGGCAGTGGAATTTTAACCGACTTTTTGTCATTAGGTTTGCGTTTTTTAATTTCCATTTTGACACATAAATTTTCAAATGATACATCAGCTGGTATATTTTGATTTGTCGAAAATTTATTCTGCATTACTAATTAAGCGAAATTTTATAAGTCCTTTCGTTTGCTGGTAATAACCAAAAAAGCGACTGAAGAGCTTAGAGTATTTCTAAAGCGGCTGAACAGCTTAGATCATTGTTAATTCTCTGTTAGGTCGATCCTTTTTGCATTGGACCATTCATAAATCTTTTACATGGCAATCTTGCCATAATCATATACAAAGTACATAGCATTACAATATTTTTAAACAACTCTCATAACGATTTAACAGTTTCACCCTTACTGCTGGCTCTATTAGATATATTGCAGTAATATTCTTAAACTTTCTATTTTTCCAAGTAAAAGAACATCACAACAACTTTTTTAAGTCTTCTTAATATTCATATTAGCTTAACTGTCATCAATACCTAGTTAAAACAATCAGAACTTTTATATGAGACTTGAAAAACTTTCTCAATATACTTGAAAATTCTTTGAATTAATAAAGCAAATGTACGCAACTTTACAAAATCTTTTTTATTTTATAAAAACCTGAATCTCACTTAAAGCAACGTTCAATCTAAACTTATTTTTTCTACGTACTCGGGCAAGGTTATAAACTTTTATATATTTTCTTGGTAATGAGATACTTGTACATTGTAAAGGATATTGTGAAAGAAGAGATATAAAATTGCTTTCATTTAAGTGTACAAACAGAAAACTTGAAAAGATTTCTTAACTGAACTTGAATAGAACAAATGTTATCAAATACATCACAGACAAAAAGAAACATAAAATATATACAAAAGTGAACACATAATTATAGTTTTTATTTTCACAATATATAATTTTAAAGGAAAGACTTCAAGAATTATACTTTTGCACTAAATTTTAAAAGTCAAGCTAATTTATCTCTGAAATTGAAAAATAAATTAAAACATGTTGATAATATCTCAAATTATTTATAATTAATATTTATAATTAAAAGTTTTTTAAATGAGTGAGAAAGTAAAATCTTAATAAGAAACTAAAAGAAAAAATCTTATATATACTTAAGGGCTATTTACATATTATGAAATTAAAATTTTACTATATTAAATCCCTCGTTACTTTCGTTTAAACATTTAAATGTATATAAGATTTATGCAAAAATTATATAACCACCTTCCTAGAGTGTCCCTGACAAAATAAGTCTTAAATTTCCTCTTCTGTAATGAGGTCAGCTTTATAAAACCCTTCTAGACATGTAAACTGTTCCCTTTTATGCTAACATTGACAAAAGTACCCCCCGAAGTGTACATCAGCGCAGATGTGCCCAGCAGCACTATTTACGTTAAAATCTTTGTCCTGTGACACTGCACTCGACTGGACGTTATTTACTAATCACCCGGTAGCAGTAGCTTTTAATGCGAAAAGAGTAGCATCATCTCCATTTATTGATTTTTGGATGTGTCCATAAGTAATCCCACGAATGTTAGGAAAGTATACAGTTACCGTCGGCAAAACCCATTTATTGACGCAAGGTTTCTTAAAAGCGGATATCGCCTGGTAACCGCAGTTAGCTATTAAGGTCGTCACTAATCCCGCAACTAAGTTTTTACTGGAAAAGCTGTTCCACCGTAGATTAGGGGGTTGTTCGTTGTTCACACTATTACGGTTGAATTTTATTTCGAATAATTTCTGCTCTGTAAAAGTAAGATGCAAATGCTTGTGGTAGTTTGTAAACAATATAAACACCTGTCATTCGTATGAATTGGACTTAGTTGGCAATATCAGTTTGACAGATAATTGGTAACATTTCAATCGGCATATAAATTATAAATTTTTTTTATTATTTTTATTAACAAAAAAAATATTTTGTGTTATTGTTTAAGATTACATTTATATAACTCAAGGCTATACATGTCTTTTTCTGCTCTATTGCTTTTGATAGATAAAGACTAATTTGAATATGATGCAACTGATTTCATGACCTTTTTAAATAAATAAATTCATTAAATAATGGAAAATGGAAAATAGAACAACAAAACTCATTACACTTTCATTCAAATTATTACAATAAAGTCAAGAACAGATTGTTAGATTCCCTGCTGTTCAATATTAAGTATACTCGCATACGACAAAACATGATATATGAATTTACTATTGTACATATATCAAAACTTCAGTGATTTCATTAGCAGATTATGTATTTATATAAAAATAAAAAAACCATAAAGGAATTATGGGCCGATTTTTGTTTTGGACAAATTTTATTTTTTCTTAATAAAAATATTAATTATTACCTAACTTTTATTTATTTATTTAATTTCTTTTTTTTTGTTATTTATAGCCTTTATTATTAATATTACGTAAAATCACTACAGAACGCAGTGATAATAATTATTTACACGAAATTTACTATACTAGTCCATATATAAAATTAGACATAAAAATATAACATTACAAATGATTTGGCTATACATTACAAAAAGAGGATACTATATCAGAGATGCGACACTGACATGGAATCCACAATATATTAGGCGATTTGGGAAGATATGTTCAAGGAATACGACTTGAAATGAAACTGATAATCTTTCATTCAACTACAGTCAAAGGCATATAACGAAAGCGACTGAACAACTTACATCAAAACCTTTTATATTTTTTATAGGAGTATATGATCTATACTACGTAGGTTACTAATAATTAATTATTAATAATAATAATTACTACGTGGTGACCGTATAATAAAATATAGTAATCTGTTCGTCTATGTTCTAGTATATACTATTGCATGAGTTTCAATGGTTTGCCGTAACATGTTTTTTTATTTTACTTAAGTCCTCATGACAGCACGGTTTTTAAAAACATCAACCATTGGCTTATTCTGTTTGTCTTTCCTGTGAAAAATCCAAAAAAAAATTCTTGGATACCAAAAAAGCAATATGATATGATAGATAACCAATTACTACGCTTTGAAAGCGCTTATATTTAATTATTTCTTGTACAGTGTGAAAGTTCCCACTTCCTTAGTTTGGAATTATTAATCCCTCATGGTAGATTTATACATTTCTTCAAACAATTCTGACAAATTAATGTAAGAATTATTCATTTTACTGTGCTCTAATATGACTCTTGCTATATCGCCACTTTTTTTGAAAAAAACTAGTAGCCATTTGTTTCGAAACGCTTTAAGTGTCAACAACCCATGCTATTAACTTCTATTTAGTTTTAGTTTCATATGCATAGATATGTGATTCATCATCTGTTAGCATAGCATCTGTCTGTTAAAGTATAGGTTTTGTAATTCCTGAGCATTGCTCTGCACCAATCCTAACGAGTTTTTTTTTTGTTATATGGGACCCAATAAGGATTAATTTTCTACAGCTAAATAACTATGCAATATTCTGGGTATTAAAGTGGGACTAGTGCTAAAGTTGATTCAAGCTCGCTGGGGTATATATCACAAGGCGGTCTCGCACTTTCAGATATTGCACATCGTCAATGTTCTCCAGCTCAAATTGGATGTTCTGTACAACATTCGACCTTAAGCTAAAGATATATACTGTGCAATTAACAGTTTTGACAGTTGTTTTATCTAAGTCTTATCTTATAAATTCACTTCAAAAATCAGGATAAATCGGAGAAAGAAATTGTTAACGAATTGACTTTACTCTTTATGAGACAACTGAAATTGAACTTTTCAAAACAAAGTAGTCGTCTAAAATGTCAAACTTTTCAATTGAAATATTATATGGTTCCTTATTATACTTAACATAAAATTTTGTTACAATTGTGTCTTTTTCACTCACTATTGTAAAGTAATTTCCAATTATTATGGGCGGCCATCTTGATAAAAACAGGGGAAGAAGAAATACATATTCTAAGAAGTCAGTCAGGTTTTTGCATTCGTAGGGTGCGTTTCAGTTAAATGTTAATAAAGTACATTGAATTATAAAATAAATTATTAAAAATTCCAGACATCAATATATTTTATTTTTTTTAGGTATATATTCCTAATACATATTCTTGTCCAAATTTTAAAAAATAATTTCAATTTTGCATGGCCTCTAAGTAATATAATGCACCTATTTATAATTTTTGCTAACTTTACGGTTTTGCGGAAAAATTTTATTCACAAAGTTTTAGTCATTCTTCAGTTAAATTGAGGAGGAATAAGCTTCTAAAAATCAGTACTATCACACAATGTAGTTCCTTTATGGACTAATACCGCCTGAATTCACAAACAGTTTTCAAGCAGTTTCATTTATTTTTCATTTTTAAATTGAGAGACGAAAGTCTCGGTCAAGGCAACTTGTCAATCTACGTGCTCCACTTATCGTCTTAGTCTGCCGGAATTCTCAAAAAGTTTCTATATGAAGTTTCATACCTTTATCAACTAAACTGTTGGATAAGCTTACTTTGATTTCAACTATCAAATGATATAATCCATTTTTAAATTTTTTCTATCTGGATTTACAAATGATTTTTAAATACAGTTGTTTGCATTTTTTTGGCTCAACTGAAAAACCAATTTGTAGAGATCCAGACTAAAAAGGCAAACATTACAAAAACTATTTACCCTTTATATGTAAAGGATATGTTCATAGCCAAGGAAAGGTAAATAATAAGGGGTGGCTTTCTTAAAGTGTGGCCTGAAGCAATATTTCATTATAAAAATGATGAAATATTTTTTAAATTATGTCGCATCCTATCCATTCGCTTGATAATAGATGTATAAATTAGTATCGTTAAGGAACCAAATACACATTTTCATTTTAATCTAATACTTATCATAAATACAATTTTAAAGGAATTTATAGATATATTACAAAAAAACACAAAGAGGTTTCTTCGAACAGTAGTGAACTACAACAACAAAAATTTTAATTTTTATTTTACTTTAATTAATTGATTTTTTGGCTGACCATACAGCTGTTTCGAGTATTGCCAAATACCCATCATCGGTGGTCTTCGAAATAATTCTTGTATTTATTATTCATAAATAATTATTTTTGAGAATGCAAGTATCAGGAATCGAACTCGGGTCCTGGCAAACGTGAAGCTCGGAATCAGCGCACCTTAACCAACTGATCCAAAGCCGAACTTGACAAATGAATTGACAAATTACTTTTCTTACTTGAATCAGAGATTGTATTCTAGGCCATTATTACTTCTTATACTCGTATTATTAGAAGGTCAATTTAAACTTTCTTTAAGTTCTTTAAAATCTACCTTTTCATATTCATCTAATACTTATCATAAATACAATTTTATAAGAATTTATTGATATATTAAAGAAAACGAATAGACAAATTACTTTTCTTCCATGTGTCAAAAACTGTATTCCAAGCCATTATTACTTATTATACTCGTATTATTAGTTCGTCAATTTAAACTTTCTTTAAGTTCTATTGCATTTATATACAAAAGAAATTATTATATATAAATGTATAAATAAAATAAATTGGATTTAATAAATTTATTTTAAAGTTTGTATTTCAATCTAAATAGAAAATCCTAAATTAATGATCCGAGAGGACATTTTCAAGGGCATTATGCTTATGTATATATCAATTTAAAATAAATAGAGCATAAAATCAATGAACAAAACATTTGTTACAAAATGTTTAAGTATTTACGTATATCATTGTATCAGTTTTCAACAAATTTCATAAAAATATATATAAACCATCCAAACTTAAATAGATCGAAAAATTTGATTGCGTAAACAAATGCATTGTCACATGTTGTGAAAGAACGCGATGTGCGAAAAATTTTATTTTGTAAACTGAAAATGTTTGAATAAATTTCGCTTCGTTAACCAAACATAAATAATGAGAAAAATTTTTATTTACAAAAAATAAAATTATCACATTTTTAAATTTGCTGAACAAATACAGAGAATGCAAGGAACACAATGTAAAATAAATACCGAATCCAGCTGCGTGAAGTATCGGATTCACGGATTTTTAGACTCATTTGACAAGCTTGACGAAGGCATTGTCAAGACTTTACACTGGAGTGTTTTCTGATCTGTGTAGGATTTCCATTTGTTTACGAATTGATTGAAGCAAATAAAAAATATTTGGATATATATGAAGTATTAAAATGAAAAGAAGTGTTATTACACAGAAAATAAAATATTTAATCTGTCCAAATGTTTATTGAGATAATAACAGAATGGCATAGCATGAAGTTTTTGATATATAATTTAAATCAGTTGATGTATTACAATAATATTTCTTATTACAGAGATGTAAACTTATTAGTGTTATACAATTTATTTACTTCAACTTTAACATTAATTATGAAAGATTCATCTCAGCAAGTTTTATGATGCAATGATTAAGATATCTTGAGCATACATACTTTTAAATACCAATAGAATAATATTTAGTTGTAGTGGTAAAGGTAATATTAGCACCAAACCACCTAGTAAACAAGAAATTTCTGAAGCAATACGTACGTTAAAAACCGGAAAATCTGCATATACCGATAATATATCAGTTGAATGCTGACACTACACAATCCACCGAACTCTTATTTCCGCTTTTTAAGAAGATTTGCATACAGAAGAGATACCATCCGACTAGAGTGGAGAGGGATTTCTTTAATTTCCATAATAAGCTAGATTTTCAACAAAATAATTTTGAAACGCAATATTCAACCAATAAATGAACAACTTCGCAAAAATCAAGAAGGCTTTCGACCGACCGGTCTTTGTGACGACAATATAAATAGTACACACGTTGAACAGTGCATCAAGTTCCACACAGTCCTGTATACAATCTTTGTCGATTAAGAAAAGGCGTTTGACTTAATCAAGAAAGAGGCGATCTGGTCAGCGCTACAGACACTTGGTATCCCGTAAAAAATAATCAATATAATAAAGAAAATCTATGAAGGCACGAAGTGCAGAGTTCTGAATAATGAAAAAACAAGTGAACTGTTCATTTCAACAATCGAAGTCAAACATGGCTGCATTTTATCATCACTACTGTTTATTATTGTGCTCGATTGGGTGCTAATAATATTCGATTCGCAACACTGCAGCATAAATTGGAGGTTAAATACTAGGTTGACAGATCTAGAGTATGTAGATGACATTGTAATGCTTTCGCACTCACATCAGCAAATGCAGCCGAAAATTGAAAATAAAAAACAGAACAAACGTACTGCTAATAGCACTGAAAGCAGCTAAAACTTACAAAAACGAGAGGTAACAGCATTTAATTAGGTGAGACAAATCTTCAAACTTGGTTAAAAATTTTTGCAAATCCGAATTAGGAAAAAAATTCGATACTAAGTAATACCCGTAAATGATGCATAGACAATTTGTGTATGTATTAGTATTATTAATCAGTCTCCGCACGGGGAGGTACGCAGATCAATCACTGAATAATCATGAAGCTTATGAGAGATATACAAATTAGTCAATGAGATTGGTGGGACCCTGTAGTACCCCCAGCTATCAAAGAGTAAAAGTGCCCAGTTGCGCTGACTCGAAAAAAAGGATCAACATAAATACATACATTAGTGAGAAAAAATTAAAGTAGAGAACAAACACTGTAAAAACACAAAAATTTATAAGAAGTCGTTCAATCTTAGTTTCGTCGAATCTCAGAATGGTTACTGGCTCCTCAGGAAGGTATACAGATCTGAGGTCAATTATTGCTTAGTCTGATAAAGTGATAAACAATAATCCAGTTAAGGCGTGAAGAGGAGTTATGAAGAAGCCTCATAATTAATAGAGAGTAAATGTGTTTAAGTATACTGACTCAACTAGAAACATAATAACAATAGAAGGTTATATGTTAATGGAAGGAATAACTCTTATTCCGTCTGAAATCACTTTTATTTGCAGTAGCATATTGTATACAATAATTATAAACAATCGCTTAATTAAAATATTAAAAAAATGTTGCTCCATGTAATGTGCCTTAACACTATTCAATTCAATAAAAACAAAATAATTATGCTTAGAAGTGTACTCGGGTATACCGAAGCATTTTGTAAATATGTATTCGTCTGAACGCTACACTCTTCGTATGTCACACAAACGTTAGCATTGAATGTGTACTGTCTTTCGAACATGCCTTCACCCAATAAATCTCAATTGCATTTAGGAACTAATAGAATGGTCCCACTGCCTTCCTTGAAGGAGATTACATTCCTAATTACGGTCGCTAATAAAATTTATACCATATACCATATAATTATATGGAATACCATATAATTAATGCATAAAAATATATAAATGAGTTTATAGTTTATATATCAAATATATATTTGACATCATTATACAATGATATTATTTGATAAAAAAGCATTCAATTCAGTTGAATATCATCTGAACAATTAATGAAGTGCTTACGTTGCAGTGGGGACATAATATAACATAACCAAATCAAGTAGTTTCGCATATTTTGTATAGAACGACCAAACATAAAAAGTTTATAGAAAATTCTCCCATTTTCCACACTCTGGCTTTCAGTGTAAGACCGAAAATATTCGTTTAGCTTACAAGTCTGCAAATAGGCCGGAAATGCAAAA